TAGTATAATTCTTAAGATAAATATATTGAGATCAAGTCTACCTTACAGTTGACTTTTGTAACTGAGTGAAGAAGTTCTTTTTCTTTTAAATTAACTTTGTTAAAGTATATTTTACATATAATAGAAGGCACTTATTTTAATTTGATGAATTTTCTTCAATACACATATCCATGTAATAGCCAATCCAATCAAGAGATAGAACAGTTGCAGCCCCCTAAAAATTTCCCTTTTACCCGTTTCAGAGTGCAGCTAGTTCAGACTTCCTAAGGTGGGACTGAGATTGGTAGGTGTAGGGGACTGAAGGAAAGCCAGTGTACTTGCTTAGTGAAGAAGCAGGAAAGAATTATGTGAAAAGAGACAAAAGCAGCAGGTGGTTCCTGATCTTGCATGAAATAAAGTTTGTCTTATTTTAAGTCCAATATAAAGAAGCCAAGGGAATCTTACAGAGAGAGGAAAATTATGATCTGATTTGCATCTCACTTTGCTTTCATTGCCGTCTGTCCAATCCTAGAATTTCCACCTGGCCTAGACCACCTGCTTCATGCATTCCTGATCTTATCCATGAAAATCTGTGGAATCTTTTTGCCCCCTGAACTTTCCTACTACACTGTGCCATCCATTACTTATACCATTGCTTCCATTCTACCTTCTAGCATGTAAAAGGATGGAAGGGAAGATGTAAGGGCTTTTAAAAATTGCCACACTGGCCATGACACAAAATTATAAAATTATTCTATAATATACCACTGCCTAACTGGCACTTAACTGCTGCGCTAGCAGTTATATGAAAAGTGGGACAGAGTATAAAAAAAAACAAATTGTTAAATGCATACAATCTGGCATTTCTCCAAGCACTGTAGCAAGTACTATAGAGTATAGCATTGAATTTAATAACTACTAAGCCTGGTAGCTGCTGCTTGCATTAGCAAATGATGAAATAGTTTTAGGGAATTTAACTGACTTGTCCAAAGTCACCTAAGTTGTACCAGTACCCAGGTCCTTATGCCACCAGAACCTATTCTATTCTCCTAATACGTAATGTCTCCTTAAAATTAGGATTATCTTTCTAGGAGAAATAATACAAGCACATTCACCACATGAGCAGAAAGAGAGAAGGGAACTGATATTTATTAAGTTTCTAATATGAGCTGCTCACTAAGGTGGGTATTTAAAATATTAGCTCCTTAATTTTTACAACAATTCCAAAGGAAACAATTTTCCATATTTCATTGAAGATGAGGTTCAGAGAAGTTATGAATCCTGCTCAAAGTCACACAGCTTATTGAGGCAGAGCTGGGATTTGATTCAGCTATCTGATTCTCTTTACCCATGTCCTTTGCACCAAACTATTCTACTTGTAGAAAGGAAAAGTTAGCACAGTGTCTGTAGAACTGTCATACTTATTCTGTAGAAACATTCATCCAGAGTTGAAATAGGAAATCTCGCACCAGCAGGGAGTGGGCAGTAATTTCCCTCCACTTCCTCAGTGTCTTTGAAAGAGAACATGGTGGTCAGGTACCCTAAAATTAATGACATCTTCTGATGGAAGCATAAGGAGGTCTATGGTTCAGGATTCCCAGCGACAGAACAGGAAATGGAGCTGTTTCCAAGAGAAATGAAGTTGCCTTCTCTGGGGGTAGGCAAAAAAGGAGCATTTGAACAGGCAATTGATCATGGGAAGACTACAAGGTGAGAAGAGGACTGGAACTCACAAAAGCCCCTGGCATACTAGCTTTTTAAAAAAGATTTGTCTCTAGCTACACTTTGTGCAATGAATTCCTTGACCTATGTTTCCAAGTTTTATCTTTAACAATGCAGGTGTTTCCATCCAGAACTAATTCCTCTCTTTACCAAGGGTAAAAGGATCCCTTTGGACTATTTATCTGATTGACCAATCAGAATCTGAATTTGTTTTGTTACTGATTTTAACCTAAGTGTTCATGGCTCTCCACTGTCCCAGGCAGGATGTGCTACAATTTGGATGTGTAGCTTTCATTCATTGTACCCAGGATTCATTTTGAAACCATGAAAAAGCAGCAGTCACAACAAATTTCCTTTTTAATTAGATTATTTCTTGGCAAAAATTCCAATAACTGTAGTAAAGTACTGTAGTAAAGCAAATGCTCCAAATTGTTTTAATGTATGGAAACATATCTTAAAACATTAAAGGAAATTAATATTTAACATGTTGACCCTTATTATACATGGATATATAATTTGTAATAATTAGATTAGAATCTACAAACAATAACTAGACCCTAAAAAGGCAGTATAACCATCACGAATGTATTACATAGTCCAAAGGGTCTCCTCACTGTGGATAAATCCAGCTAGTAAAGTGATATTCAGCCCAAAATAGAATATCTGAGTTGTTACCTAGGGTTTTCAGATTGAAAAAACAGTGGTACCTCTAGCACACCTTTATCTAGACATCTTGATAAAGAATAAGGATCTCTTTGACTGTCAAAACAGCTTTGTAGCATGGTGAGACACTCATGGTGAAGGTTTCTCTTTTTCCTCTGTAATATATTCAGAACTAGTATTCACCTGGCATTCCCTAGGTAGTTTAAGATTTCAGTACTACTGTGAAACAGCCACTTCTCAAAATTGGTGTGAATGAAAGACCCTAAACCATATGCTCCAGGTCTGTTTTTCTTCTGGAATCTATTGGAAGACTATTTGTTTAAAAGATCCCAGAGAAATTCAGCAATGCATTGGGCCCCTTTGTCCACTGTGACTGACCATAAGTATAAGCACACTGACATCCTAGTGGTTTGGGGACAGGGGACGGGGAGAGGCACGGGGGGCAGCAGAATCCTCTGACTTTACAGATTAAAATCAAATGGCTATGACTTGCGTACGTTGCTTCTAGTCACAATCCTTTGGAAATACTGCTAAGAATACAGGGAAAGAATAATGAGACTCTTATGAAATTTTCTCTCTTTACTTAGAGCATCAGATTCATCTGAAGGCTACCCCAAATACACCAAAGGTCTTTTTAAGTATAAAAGAATGCATTAGGATGCTGAGGGATGCTATCCTACAAACCTAGATAAGCACATCAGAGCTACAGTGTGTACTTGGTTGGAATTAAACCATTACTCAAGGGTCCTTCTTGTATATGCTTCTAAAGAAGCCAACTAAATAATGATAATTTGATGTAGCTAAGAAATATAAAAACAAACCAATGCAGTCTTATGTTAAATGTTTCTTTGTCCAGCTATTTATTTATTATTTATTTACTACTGTAGTCAAAGAAAGGTTTTATTTTTGCTACAGTCCAAGAGACATATTTCGGCCCTTTTTTATTATCACACTTTTGTTACTGCTGTAGTCATGTTTTTGGGTATGGACAGTCTTTCATTTACACACATTACACCTTCTTGTGACATTTTTCAAACTATAGAGTATAGGTCTGAGAGTGGAGATATGTAAGGGACTGATTTGTTAAAATTTTTTTAAAAAACCTCATGAAAATGGAAAGAAATGACACGTTAGAAACAACCTCAGGATTTTTCATCCTATTGTTCAATACAGTCCTGTTTTAGCACTGCTTAGTGAATTGCATATAAAAAAGTAAATGGAAGCTTTTATTTTTCTTTGGGTTAATATGTCAACTTTGAAGGTGTAAACCTAAAATTCATATCTATAGCAAAAGCAATATTGTAGTTCTCAAGATTCACAAATCCCCAAGGATGTAATCCCTCAAGTATAAAGGTTGCTACTTACATTAGTTCCCTTGGTTCCTCTTGATAAGTTAAAAAAGAACAACAGTCTTTATAAAAAACATTGTCATGGTGGCCTCACTGTTCTCCAGAGCATCAACTGGAATTGGTGTAAGGCCAAGATAATACAAGAAGGTGTTTACTTTTAAAGTTCCTTCTACAAAGGAATCTTTCAGTTTCCCACTCTTATGTTCCTCCTTTTTGGAAATAATTAATCTTCTGAGAAAACACAAATTAAAGAGTGCTCAATTGAAATGGAGGCTTTAGAAGAATTTTTTCATCAAGCATAGAGCAAATCTAAGCTCATATTTTGAATATGGAAATTTCCTTAGTGATGAAAGCTATACTGAGCGAATATGGAATGTGTGCTTCATATTTTAAGTATTCTTGAAAATAATAACTATGCCAGTGAACTTCAAGATGATGAAGTTTAATGGGCCTTGGAGTCTGAACAGATCTCACTGCTTGGACCCAAATATGAACTTGCACCAGAAGTGTATGTAGAATCAGCACAAACCAGCAGAGACTCATGGCTGTGGTGGGAAAAACATGTGCGCCAGTCAGAGGAGCCCTTGGCTGGTGTAAGTGATTAAGGAATTGAGAACTTTGGCTCCACTACGTGTAACTGGGTGCTAGACAGAATTCCACTAGGAAACTTTCATTGAGATTAGGGTAGTTTGTAAAGGATGCCAAGAAAAGCAGAGTTTGTGCTGTGAGGGCAGACTGAGGCATGAAGAGTGAAATCATTAGACATTATACAGGATTCTAAAAGATGAGGAATTATCTAATAAAAAATATTGTCTTTAGTTTTTGGCCCTGCTTTTCTGTTTTCCTTTTCCTTTTCCTCCTCCCTATTGTGGTCACTGGTTGACCTACAGTTAAGTTCAGGTTTTTGGATTCTCTGGCACTAATACCATCTGGCCTGGGAATTTTAATTATTTTTTTATATATTATGTATTACACTAATATAGCTACTACCTTAGAGCAATTCATTTATAATGGCAGAAGGTCAAGGCTAGTGTCAGAGTTTTGAATGCCTAAACAACTTGGAAACTTCTCCCATTCTTGTGCCTTCACAACGAAGGCAGGTAGGTAGCACCAAATGGAATTGTGAGGCTTCTGGCATTATTGGCTTTTGCTTTGGTAACAAGAAGAGAAAGGAATTATTTGGAAAAATGTAGGAAATTTCACTCTTACCTGGATGGATTATTTCAAGTTTTGGTTTTACCATTTCCCTGTATTTCATTTATTTTTTGGACACTGCTCTAATTTCATAAAGTGGTTGTGAAAACATTGATGACAGCTGAGTTCACATTCATGAGTCATTACAGTCACTAGGAGACTGGGTCCATAGTGAGAGAGCTGTGAGAATCTGGGAAGAGGGAATGGACACAGAGTTACGATGTCAAAAAGAAAAGATCTTACGTTAAAAATTCATTTTAAATGGCACCAGACACTACCCACCCTAATATTTTTCCAATCACTATAGTTATGTTAGTTCAACCCTCAAACATAGTTTGAAGATAGGAAAGAAATAAGCCATGTGAATTGACTTATTCATTGCATTAAGTCTTCAAGAAGTCTTTAAAATGACAAGAAAGATATATTAGTATATTGGAATTTAGAATTAAAGGCTGCATTATTGCCAAATGATAAGTGGGTTATCTTATTTTCAATAGAGTCAGGGAAAGAAATCAAACCAATCAACTGAAAATAATTATTTACTGAATATTACTTTGTTGATAGAAATTTAGAAATTAAACAACTATGATCTATGATCTAGTAACAAAGAAAGTTTACCTCTCTACTCCTTTCCCATAGTTTGCTGGAAAGCTGTAGACTTTCAGCTCTCAGCATTCCATTACAGCTACGCGTCTCCCTGCAAAGGAAGGAGACAAGCACCAGTGTTTACAGATTGCTGTTTTAAGTCAGGTGTTTTACACACATTTTCTCACACAATCTGGATTAAATGCCACTGAGGGAGGCATTATAATCATTTTTTAAGTGAAGAAAAACATGGATCTCACAGGGGAAAAATAACTCCACCAAGGTTATATTGTTAATAAGCGGTGAATTTTGGATTTTGAACCATATCATTCCTATCCACAATTCCATACTTGATTTACTTCACTGACAAGCTAGAGGTGGAAAACAGTCAAACATATTTTTTAAAAACCTGTACTTTTACACTTAGCACCATGTGAGTGAAAAAAGAAAAATTAATGGAAAAAAGTACACTTCATTCACACTTAATTCATTCAGCGAATAGTTTGGAGCAGTGAACTGCCAAAGTCCCAAGCAAAGAAACAAGAAATGTGCCTGTAATCTTCTCCACCTATCCTGACTCTCTGGAAAAGCTCTATATTTTATTATTATTTTTTAAGGGATGATCACTCAGGTGTGGCCTTAAGAGGAAAAAAGAGAGAGGCTCAGGAAAACAAAGCTGTTGTACTCACAGGTCCGAGACAGGGGGCATGGGCTCCAGGCAGGTCCACCAGGGAAAGACACCAGGTGGCTGGGAGGTGAAAGACAGGAGTGAGGGGAAAGCACTAGCGTAGAGGCTTTACTGGGATTTTGTGGGAAAGGTAAGGCAGGACAGGGTGAACAGTTTGGGAGAGGCTAGTTTGAAAAATTTGGTGGGCGTTTTATAGCTATAGAGGTGGACCCTAGTTAGCTGGTATCTGGCTCTGGGATAATTAAGGCACAGGAATAGTTTCCCCTCAAGTATATGGACTGATAGAAGAGGTATGGCTCTGGCTTGGTTAATTTGCATTTCAAAAGTATGCCTCAGGCTGGACCATTTGCTATCGCCCCAGGAAGGGCAACCTCTCCCCAGCTAGAAAGGTTTTTTAAGATGTCAAAACATTGTAACATATTAAAAACAAATGTATAATACACTTGACCGCCTGTCTCAGATGCCATGGTATTGCTCTTTCTCGGCTTTCAAGTAACTGTCCTTTCAGGTCTTTGGTTTGAGAATATAGTGAATGTTCTTGACCACCTGATTAGCAAGCATTCTTCCTCCCAGAGAATTCCAAGTCTCAGTTCAGCTTTTCAACTTCCTTCAGGTAATCCACGTGACTCAGGAGGAGGCAACCACACCACCCTGTGCTCAGGGCTGAGCCTGAGCTGTCTAGGGTAACTGCCCTCCTTATTGGCAATTGAGTCAAGTATGGGCATGCAATTCTTTTTTTTAACCATAAGGATGCAAAGGTCTCTGGAGGGTTCTAGAGAAGCTCTTCATGGATCTTCTGAGAAGGATATGGGAAGGATCTGTCATGTTAGTTGTAAACTAAAACACATATGAATGACTTTAATGTCTCAGGAAGCCACTCCACGAGCGCAAGGGTGAGCAGACTCAGGATGAAGCCGGGACTGCACAGGACCGAGCAGGCAGACAGAACTTGGAAACTAAAGGTATTGTGGAGCTGGAGGCTCAATAATCATACCTCTGGATGTTCTCTCATTGTTTAAGCCCGTTTGAGTTGGATTTTCTATTGCACATATAGCTCCAGAAGCTTGCTACCTGATACAGGAGCTTTCGATAAACAGAAAAAAGCTTGAGAGGATCCCCACCCCAACATTGGCTCTGGTATGTATCCAGGACCACTATTTAGAATTTCTACTAGTCCACTTTTGCCTTCCAGAAGGTGTTGCATTGCAGGGAATAAGCAAAAAGGAAGGCATTTTCAGTGAAATTATGTTTCATAATTGGGATCCCACAATAGGAAGTTAGCTGACTATCTACACTGTATCAGTCACTCTTCTGAGCTACAGAGATATAACAGAAAAGCAACAAAATCTCCAGTAACAAGTTGCTAACTGTTTCAAAGGAGGAAAAAGGCAATAAACAAATAAATAGATAAGATTATGTCATATGACATGAATATTTTCATTCCAAGGCAAAAAATATTTTAAGTAAATATTAAAAATTGCTATGAAGAAGAGTTGAGAAAGAGAGACAGGGATAGAGATGGCAGCAGTTGGTACTGATATTTTATATAACGAAGCAGTTGGTTAGAGAAGGTCTTTCAAAGAAAGGACATGTAAGAGGAAACCCAAAAGAACTAAGAGGAGTAGCCATGAAATTACTTAGAGGAAAAACCTTCTGGGCAGCAAGAACAGTAAGTACAAAGGCCCTGAGGTGGGATCATGCCTGGTATGCTAGAATAAAACAAAACAAAACAAAACAAAACAACAACAACAACAAAAAAAACCTGTTTGGCTGCAGTAGAGTGAGAGAGAATGGTAGAAGTTGAGGACAAAGCAAGGGGACACATGCCTTCTAGGCCGACACAGAGATAACAGTCTATGTAGCACTTCACAGACCCCAGGAAAGACTTGGGACTTTCTTCCTTTCAAGAGTTTTGTATAAAGATCTGACATTCCTACTGACATGGGAAAATAGACTACAGGGAGGCAAGAGTAGGAGAAGGGAGTCATGTTAGGAGGCAAATGCAATAGTCCACATAAAAGAAAACCATGGCTTAAATAGGAAAGGCAGAAAGAAGGCAGCAAGATTTTGAATATACTCTGAATGTTACTGAAAGATTGGCTAAGGAGTGTGAGAAAAAAGAAGGCATCAAGAATTAGTCCATGATTTTGGCCTGAATAAATAGATTTCATCTTTTTCTAAGATTGTGGTACCTTTAAGATGGGCTATTTTGGAGGTGGTAGAGTTATAAATTTAATTTTAGAATTAACAATCTTCAAATTTTGAATTAGTAAAAAAAAAAAATCAGATTCTTGTACACATCCATGGAGAAGTGCTGAATAAGTATATAGGCATATAATTCTAGAATTCAGGAAAGAGGGTTAAGGTTAAAGACCTGCACTTGAAAGTTATCAGAATATGAATATATTGAAAGTTGTAGGACACGATAAAAATCACTTGAGGAGTGAGTGTAGGTGGAGCAGAATTTTAGATTGATTCCTGAACATACCAACGTTAAGCAGTTAGGGAATATGAACATAACCCTGGGAAAGAGATTAGAAAGGGAGGCCAGTGACTTAACAACAATAACAACAAAAAAACCCCACCAAGACAGGAAAAGTCCAGAGGCCAAGTGACAAGAATGTTTTTAATGACTGAGAAATGAGCAACTCCATCAAACATCACTGATTGCTAGAGTAAGGTGAGAACTAGAAAAAGACATGATTTTATGAGGAAAAGGCCAGATTCAAGTTGCTTGGCTTTTCTGCAGGTACCACCTTAGCATTTGGAATTCACACTAATTAGGCTATTTATTTTTGAGATTTGATTTCTTATCCTAGTTTAAATGAGAGCCAGTAAGTGGTATAATCTTATATATGATTAGCAAGCTGAAAATCCCTGCCCCTGTGCCTCTAGCTAGATTCCAATTGGATGAGTCGGGTAGGAGTATCTGAGGATCATTCTACACAGCTACATGAGACTCTTGAAGATAAGCAAATAAACCCCTCAAAAGCATTAAATCTTTCATTTGGCATTAATGCAGCCATTTCCAAAGCAACCAGAAAATAGATTTAACACCAATCTGATTGGTTTTAACAATAGTCAAAGGACAAGGATGGCATAGATTAATGTTTTTTGTGGATAATTTGATATGTGATACGACAACATTTGTCAAGCCATTTGGAGATTTTTATTTAACTTTCATTATGTATAGGTGTTAAATTATCAGAGGACCACAGGCCAATAAGATAGGGTAAGTCTTCCAAACTAAACCATCTGTGAAACACCTGAATGTATGTTAAGTTTGTGATTTTATGTAGTTATAAATTTAATGAAGTTCTAAATGATACATGAATGAAGAATTCAGGCTTCTAAAATGGATATTCAAATTTGGGCATCTCTTCTGTGTAATCCTTAAAATTGACAATCAAATGCTCAAAGTAAAGGCTTTGTACTTCATTTTTGTCATATAAACAATGTTTTGGGGATGACAGGAGCTAATGGAATGCAGGAGAGTAACAGGGAAGTCTATGTTGTTTAAATTATAGTTTACAATTAACTTTATGTTCCTTCTTGATTATTTCTATGTGACAATAGAGGTATAAGCAAAGAAATGGCCAGCTTTTTATTACACTTTAGTTTTAACTACAATTTTTTACAGATTATTTGTCTTCTAATGCATGATTCAACAGAAATCTGAGTTCGCATTACATCGGAATTAGTGATTTTCTGCAGCCAAGGATTTGAGAAAAAACTCCGTAACACTGAATGAGTTAAATAGGAATATATTGTGCACAATGTATTTATTACTGATTAGGATTAAATGTTCATCAACTATTAAAGGAAAAAATAATAAAGCATGTACATAAGTAATTAAACCACCAAACAATTATTTAATAGTTTCCAGACACTGTATCAAACTGTTATGTAATTCAGTCTTCAGAACTCTAAGGGATAGGACTAAATTACAAATGAGTGGTACCTGAAACAATAGAGACTGAGGCTTGGAGATTTTAGGTAATTTGATGAAAGTCACAGTATACTGGCTTGCTGGCTTCTTAATACTTTATACTGTGCTACCATGTATGAGGCCAAGTCCACACGTCAGGGCTAATGGTACCAGGGACTTTAAATCTTTTACAACTATGAGTGCCCGTGACCAACAGGCCTATTGTTTAGTCTTACAGTTCTATCATTAGAATTATTTGTGAAGGTTTTCTGGGCTTTTTTAATAGACTAAGACATGACATTATCTAAGGTTGACACAACCTCTAGATAACACCATAGCGCAGATTCATTACTCATTACCAGTCATCAGTATTTCCATGAGAGCCTCAACACTAAGAATAGCATAAAGCTTACCATTTCTTGCTAGGGTGCCCCCACAAGAATTTTTCTAAAAACAGTGTAATGCCTTAGACGTGTTTAAGTATATGTTTTATAGGATATACTCTTCAAGTGTATCTACTGTAATGCAAATACAATAGCCATTTGACGTTCATCCGTGTGAAAATATTCATGAATAAGCTCTTTTTTAATACTCGGGAATTTCACTTTGGTTCATTTTTCTCCTTGAAATATTTTTTCTTTTCCATTTCCCCAACTCAAATTCATCCTAACATAAAATATTTTTTTGTATTACAAGTCTTTATATTAATCACCCTTTCTTTTTGTCCTTAACTGTAATGATACACATATTTATGCATATATAAATTGAAACTTACATTTTAAAAATTTCCTGTGATATTTTCTTAAAGGTTAAAATATTTCTTCTAGATTTAACCTTTGTGATTATGATTATTAATATGCAGATGATAAAATTCACATATTTTAAAGTTTCTAAACAATTATTCATCTTAAGAACTTTAAAATTAATTTTTAAATATAGCTCTTAATGAAATCAGTATTAATGTTCCTTCAATGCCCTAAAGCTTTAGATATAAGAGACTATATTATAGTAAGATTTGGTATGAGAAAGAGCTATACCTCTCATATGAAAAGTGTGAGTACAATGAGATAATGGAGATAGAAAAGAAGACCACAAACATATCCTCAACCAGATCAGTTCTAGGAAAGAATACATGTAGAATTCAAGGCTATTGTAGCAAATTGCTATAGAATTATCTGTACCATTAACACCACCTGTTCTGAGAACCCCTTGAAAACTCTCTGGTGCCAGACGTACTCCTCCAGGGAAGAGTAAGGCATGCTTTGCAGGTAGAGTCCAGAGGTCAAAAAGCCTGATGCTACCATGTGGCAGAGACAGAAAGAAAGAGAGAAACAAGAGGACACTAAAGAGAGAAATAAGAGATATGGAAGAAAATAAATAATCTACTATATAGTATCCCACTATTTTAGATTGCACAGTTAATGAGGTGATTGTTTTCAGAACTATGGTTTTTATTTGATTAGAATTTTGATCATAAAAAGTAGCATTATAATTTTAGCTTGCTATATTTAATTTTATAACACATATGTACATTATAAAAACCTAGGCTTAAATTCTATTAAATGGTTATTGAAATTATTAATTTCATCAAGCATTGGCTGAATCAACATTATTGATTGATTCCTTATTTTCTTCTTAGGTACTAGTTGAAATGTTGACTCGGGTGTAATCATGTAAAGAAAATTATAATCCCTTTTTCAGAATGTGTTCATTCAATTATTTCTTTATTCAAGAAGAATTTATTCAGCACCTTGGATGTACTAGGAATTATTCTAATTCCTGGAGATAATAGTACTGAACAAGACTAAGTCATTGCCCTTATGAAGCTTCCATTCTAGATGAGTTAAGTAATAAATAAATATATGTAATTTTTCCACATAGATATCTCAAAGTTTCTCGAGCTTTTGAATGGCAAATAGATCTGATATAAATTTTATACCTTGTTCATTTTTAATACAAGATTCATATTTTACTTAACTCATTAATAAGTGAGAAAACCAGTAAGATATTAGAACATGTTCAAAATAGAATTTAGAGAACACAAGACAAAGGCAGTCAGAAATGCTGAAGGTGCACTAGAAAGTTCATTTCTTTTTTTTTTTTGAGAGGGCATCTCTCATATTTATTGATCAAATAGTTGTTAACAACAATAAAATTCAGTATAGGGGGGTCAACGCTCAATGTACAATCATTAATCCATCTCAAGCCTAATTCTCGTCAGTCTCCAATCTTCTGAAGCATAACGAACAAGTTCTTACATGGTGAATGAATTAGAAAGGTCATTTTTTATGGACAAGGATCATTTTCTTTGCTACCAGTTTCTATAAATTACAGAGGTATAAAACACCTCAAAGACAATGAAATACATAGATAACCCAAAAGAGTGTGCTAGACAGGACACTAAATTTGTTCACTTGTTCAATGTCTTTAATATTTTTTTCTGACAGTCTTTCCCTCCTGTGATCATAACCTCAAAGACTATTCTTGATCATAAAAATGGGCTATTAGGTTTGACCTGATTATTTACTTAAGTGCAGCAAGATCGTTAATTTATCATACAGTCTCCATGAGTTTGCTTTGCAAATCCTGAGTCATACATGCCATACTGAACAACTACAAAGACCATACATAAACCTCTGCCTGAATTTTTTCATAAGGAATCTTAGATTTTACTTGTTAAAAGCCTATATTTTTCTATCCCAAGGCCAGGAAACCAAGCCCAAGAATCTCTCTCCACCAGATATTGGCAGTACCTATATATCCAAGTGAATTCCTATCTTTGGGAAGTTCCCTGAATATATAGATGCCTAGTCTCCCTAAGGAATTTCCTTTACACCCTTAAGAGTAAGGCTGGGTCCCTGTCAGCCAGATATTGGTTAGTTTTCTTAGAAGTTGGGAGGCATTGGCTCCTTCAAGCCTTTCTCTTTTTGTCTTAAAGGCAGCATCTTGGGGTAAAATCTTGGAGTACAAATTCTTACTGTGGTTATGGCAATGTTACCATGAAAATGCTGTTTCTGATTTCTGGAGAGTATAGTGGGTTGAACTGAGTTCCCCAAAAAGATATCTCCAAATCCTATCACCTGTGCATGCATCCTTATTTGGGAATAGGTTTTTGGCAGATATAATTGAAAATTTCAAGAAGAGATTATTCTGGGTTTAGGGCAGGCTCTGAATCCAATGACTGGTGCTCCTATGAGAGAAAGGAGAAGACTGGAAACACGGAGGGGAAGGCCAGGAGAAAATGGAGGCAGAGACTGAAGTGATACATACGTAAAGAAGGAATGCCAAGGATTGCCAGCTGAAGTCGGAAAGTAGGAGAGAGGCATGGGCTAGATTCTCCCCGTCAGAGCCTTCAGAAGGAATCAATTCTGCTGAAACTGACTTTAAGACTTCTGACCCTCAGAACAGTGAGAGAATAAATTTCTGTCACTTTAAGCCACCAAGTTTTTGGTAAATTGTTATGGCAACCTAAGGAAACTAATACAGATGGTAAGAACTAAATATTACTTTTAAGTACTTTACTTCAGCTTAAAAAGGCAGATTTTACTAAATTGTATGCATTATAGATAGCTTAAGAAGAAAGAGAAAGCGCTTCTTCATTTATCTAGAAAACAGAAACTTAAAACTATACTAACAGTATCCCAAACAAACAATCACAGTAAATTTTCCTCACCAATTTTCATATTCAGCTCCAGGACATGAATTCTGATGCTCGTGGATCTTGGATTAGCGATCCAATCGCATGAGGCAGTCCCCCGGTGTGGTTTGAGAGCCGTCTGTGTGATGTCAGTACTGAAGCCTCTTCCAGAGTGTACTCTTCGCAGCGCAGGTCACGTGAAGCCTCACACACCACCCTTCTCCATCACACGGCTCTGCATCTTATGGCCGAGACTCTAGGCAAACATCAGAATAAAAGAAAACTATGTAGAGACTTAGTAGCTTTGGTTAATTTGTCACCAGAATTAATAATATTATCATTATAATGAATATTATGATGATATTAATGATTTGATGATATTGATTTGATGACATCATATCATTTATGATGATAAATAAAATTCTCTATTGGGGTATAGCATATAATGATTTTATAGGAATTTTGAGTAGTTTTCCCTGGGACTAAAAACATTATGAATAGAGAGAGCAGTGACAAATTTCCAATGACTTCCCATATTGCTAAAATATTGAAGTTAACAACATTTTACATTATCTAGGAAAGGCTGAGTGTCTCTTCCGAACTGACAGCTTTTCCCGTGCAACTCTTGCAATAGTAAGAGATCAAATAAACATAATGTTGTCTCACATCTATTTATAAGGTGATAGAACAAACCTTTGTAATTTCTCAGGAGACCTTTGGGAAATCTCAAACACAGTTTAAGGTATAAAATACATTTTGAAAATGTTTTCATTGTTTTCTAAGTTCAGGGACAGATTTCAGGAAGGCAAAGCGAAAAGAGTTGTCAGGAAATTTGGGCACTTTAATAAAACAGAATAATAGGTGTCTGAGAAATAATTCTTAGTCACCTATTTAATTGAAGTGACAATAAAGGTTTTAAAAACAAAATCTAGGCAATAATATCATTGTAAGAACTTTAGCTCTTTCATAACTGAGGAAGATGTGTTCTTTTTTTGTTTTTAATTAAATAATCAAGGATATAAAAAGATCAACATAAAGCATTGAAAATTTTTCTGATGAGACACAGTCTCTGTTACCTAAACAAGTTACAGAGAAAGTAAAGAAAATCCTTTCGTTTTGTAGATGAAGGTACAAATAAGCAAGGAAGTAAACCCATCAGAAGTGAGTAAATATTAAAATTTCAACATACTTCATAGCTTCTTCTCAGATTTATGTATTATAAACCAAAGCTAATAAATACCAACTTTCTAAGTTTTGTCCTATATTATGCTCATCCATATTTTGCCACATACTGACTCTTTATTACAGGACAGCATATGGTCTAAGGACCTCTGGGGAACCCTTAGGAGGTCTATGAGGTCAAAACTATTTTCATAACAATATGTTATTTGTCCTTTTCATTTCATTCTCTCACAAGTATACATTGGAGTTTTGCAGAAGCTACATAATATATGACATTGAAAGACTGGAAGCAGAAGCAGGTTGTGAATCCAGCTGCCTTCTATTAATCATTTATTAAAGATAATTACAAAAATATAAAGCAATGTCACTTTCCTAACCAAAAACTTTAAAAAAAGTGGTTACTTTCATAAAAACATAGTGTTTATATTAAGATGTGATTTATCACTCCTATTTTTAAATAAACCAAAAAAACAGTATTTTAAAAAGCTCACAGGTTTATTTTAATATGATACATATTGATAGTTATAAGCCTAAAATAATGTTCCATGGGGTGAACAATAATTTCTAATAGTTTAAAGGCATGTAGAGACCAAAAATTTTGGGAGAAGCTACTTCAGGAAAAATCTCCTTTTCTTTAAAAAACAAAAATACATAGAAAATCAAGTTTCTCTGTGACTATTGCTCCCCATATGGTCTCAACCACCATATTAATTATAATTTTTGACCAAATTAATGAACTCTATTTCTAAAGTCATGGGAAGAAATATGCTTCTTAAAATATACTTTGAATATATATGTATATAAGCCATCTTTTTATAGAATACACAGAAAACCTGAACTACACTGACAGATAAGACAGTACCATCTAGATAACAAGAGAAAATAGTTCAGAAGATGTGAGGGTCTAGGCATGAAGGTACACATGTTTTGGAGATTAACAAAACTGCATTAAAATCACAAGTTATCACATAGAGGAATTCAATATTCACCAAGAGACAGGCTTCCTATTTTATGAATGTGGCCAGAAAAATCTAACAAGAACACAGGAAGGAGGCCTGTCAGAATCACAGCCAAAGCAAATAAGCTTTAGTTAGAAAGACTCGTGCTGACCTCACAGAACTACACGCCTGCCCATCTTACACCTCCCTGAAGGAACGCGAAAGCCTGCACTCATCAAGGAACTCACTGAAGATCTAATGACAGCGAAGAGTAACCAGTGACTTTCTTTGTAAAGATTATTGTAGCCATGGGGAGTTTTGTTTGGTCATTACTTTTCTGTGCAAAAAAGAGCCCCCAAAACAACAAAAAAAACCACTTATAATTGGTCCTATTATTGGGTCTTACTAGAAAATGATGACACAACAGCAGAGTACATTCAGAGTCTGGTGAATGGGAAGAGAGCACCTACGAATGTCGAAATTTGTTGGAAATGCTCTGTACACTCAAGAAGGTGCTATGTAACTTCTAAGGAAAGGTGTCTGCATGCTTGTTGGCTGAGAGAGATGCTACCATCTAGGCTTGTGAGAGATTTTATTTATAGTTTTTAACTTTTATTATTTATTTAAGTTGCATGAATGTAAAACAACACTGAGTTACCCAGTTGTTAATATCATCCTGAAAAGAATTAGAATGACTACACTCACTATTGCCTATGCACTGGAGTAAAGACACTCATATACACTCTGTAAACACTTCTCTGGAGGACGATTAGCTGCATAGTCAAAGCCTTAAAACTGTGCCAATGCTCAATGCACCAATTCCACTTCCAAAAGCTCACCTGAAGGGAACACTCAGACATTATCAAAGAGAATTAATATAGTGTGTTTACAATAATAAAGAGATGGAAACTAAATATGTATCAATCCAGAATTGGTTGAAAAAACTAACATTTCATGCATGTAATGAAACGCGATTAGTAGTTACAAATAATGATGTGACTTCATTTATTATTATTCACTCAACAAATATTTAACTGTTCATAATATTCTAGGCACTGTTCTATAAACTGGGCATGCAGAAATGAATAAAACAGAAAAATCCCTGTCTTCCTGGAGCTTACCTTCTTGCTGGAGAAACAGATAAAAGCACAAAAGTAAGTAAATATGCATAGTATATTATATTAGTACTCAGAGAAAAATAAAACAGGAAAATTCTGGGTAGTGTGATTTATGATAGGGCTGAGGAAGAACCCATAAGAGGATGAAATTTACTTCAAGATGTAGAGTAGGTAGAGAACAAGCCAGACAGATACCTGGAGGAAGAGTATCCTACGTAAAGTGACAGCTAATACCAAGGCCACTGAAGACAGCAAGGCGTTAGCCTAGGCAGGGGGAGTGAGCAAAAGCAGAGTACTGGGAGAAAGGTCAGAGAGGAAAAGAGGTGCCAGTGGAACATTCTGGCCACTGGAAAGGATGGAATGGAGACGTAATGTCATCTGTCATAAGAATCTTCTGACTGCCACATTAAGACTAGAGTAGAATAAGCTAAAGATAGAAGGAGACCAGTTGTAAGGTGTCTGCAATAACCTAAGCAAAGGATAACAGAGCTTGGACCTAGGCATAGTAGTGGAAGTGGTAAATGGCAAGACTCAGGGCCTATTTGGAAAGTAAACAGCATTTTTATCAGATTGGATGTGGGATATCAGTAAAAATTGAAAGATGACTTCAAGAGTTATTTCTTGAATAACTCAAGGATGCAGTTATCATTTACTGAGATAAGAAAGAAGAGTAGATTTGGTGGGTGGTATCACTCACATTTAAACATGGACTTTGAAATTCTGAATTGTAAGTTTAAGATCCCTATGAAATCTCCAAATAGAGATGTCAAATAGCTGTATGAATCAGTGAGGAATTCAGAGGAATAGGCCAGGCTGAAGATATATATTTGGGTGACATCATCCTGTAAATGGCATTTAAAGGCATGGGGCCAAAGGTAGGGGTGTAGACAGACTGGAGAAGAGGTATCAGGATGTAGCCCCATCATACTCCTGTGTTGGAGACTCTTTGGGAATAAGGAAAACCTGTTAAGGTGATGAAGAAGGAGCAGCCAGAATAGAAACAGAGGAGGCTCTGTAAACCAAATGAAGACAGTGGCTCAAGAAAAAAAGAAGGATCCCCAGAATCAAGGTAAGGTCAAGCAAAATGAGGAATAAGGATTACACACGGAATTAGAAGTTGTGGTGACCTTATCATAGAACAGCTTCAGTGGAATGAGTATAAAAGTGTAATTGAATCTGTATTATAAATATATATTTTGAAGCCAGTTTAAGAGAAAAATTAGGATATAAAACAACACGTATTTGGAAAGTATAGTATGAACTCACTAAACATACATATGTTTCTATCTGTGTGTCCTTATTTGCATATGTGTGAATGCTTAATATTAATATGCATATACAGGAAAAGTATGAAATGAAGTTCACTAAAATACCAACAGGAGTTATTTTTCATCGAGTCATATATTAAATCCTTTACATTTTGTGTTTTCTCTACAGTCTTCTTCTAATAAATATCTACTACTTTCGCAATCAGGAAAAAAAAAAGAAGCCTAAGCAATTTCCTAAAAAATAAGGAACTAATATACACCATGAATCAATAAGGTAATATACATTATGGTAAAAATATCTGTCAGATAAAGTATAAGCTGAAAAGATTTTTGGTTCCTTTTAAATTAGGAAATGTTTTGGAAAAATTTGGTTGTAAAATACATTAGTATTTAAACACTTGAAGAAGTTCCTAGAACTCTTTCTTCTTACACTGTGACTTATTATTTAGTGAAGAGTGTTCTTTTACTTAAAAATAAAAATCTGATTCCAATTGCTCTTAATGGTCTAAAAACAAGATGCTGTGTTTTAAAAACTCATAAGAATATGCATTAGAAAATTGGAATTTAATTTTTCCTTAAAAATTCACTCTACTTTTCCTACAGTTCAGTAAGTGTTTAGTGTGGTAAGACTTATATTTTACAAATTTTAATAGTGAAATTTAAAGAAGGCCTCAGTTTACCAAAAAGATCCTCAAACACAAACATGACCCAGGAAGCAGCTGTATCCTATTTCCAAAGAAAAAA